GTCCATCCTAAAGGAGATCAGTCCTGGGTGTTCATTGGAAGGACCGATATTGAAGCTGAAACTCCAGTCCTTTGGCCACCTGATGCGAAGAGCTGGTTCATTTGAAAAGACCCTGATGCTGGGAGAAATTGAAGGCAGGAGGAGAAGGGGATGCCAGAGGATGAGATGGTTGGATGGCATCACTTACTCAATGGACGTGAGTTTGAGTAAACTCCGGGAGTTGGTGATGGACAGGGAGTTGGTGTGCTGCAGTCCATGGGGTCGCAAGGAGTTGGACACGACTGAGCAACTGAACTGAACTGATTCATTTCTAATAGACTGTCCACAAGAACCTTGAAATTACTGAGATGATGAGTAAAGCAGAGTGGAGAAAGGCTGTGGGCTCGCCTGTCAGGTGTTAGCTCCATTATTACAATATTAACAGATCACCTCTTACAAAACCTGGTGTACTTTATGATATCCTGGAAGAATTCTTTGCCCTTGGAAGGTACTCAATAAATGTGAGTTGAATTTACACAAAAGTGTTTATCAAATTACCTGATTGTCATTAAGAGTCAGATAAAGGATGGGAGAAGTAACTAGTCTGTTGACAGACTGCCAAAGAAGATGTGGAGATTGGCTATCATGTGTCTCAAAATAGAAATTTTTGGCGTCTGAGTAGAAGAGTAATCATCTGCGTTGGCACTGAGGATTGTGAGGGAAGCTCGAGCTTCTGGAAGAAAAGATAACAAAAGTGGGAGAGTTTGCAGCCTTCAGTTAAAGGGGCTTCCTCGTAAATAGCATTTTCTGGAAATCCCCAGCTTTGCTTTCAAGCAAAGGGATAAAGGAAGAGAGGTAACAGGAGGGGAGAAAGCATGCATCAGTGTAAGGATTAGTAGACTAGATAGAGTTGGTAATGGCGTAGAGGGGGCTGTGTTCCGTGTTTCACTAGGGAGTGAGAGAATTAATGAAACGGGTTAAATTAACTCATCTCATGATTCCAAATGGTGCAAAGATTTCCACGTCAAGCACTCTCTGGCTCCAGACATCTGTCTGTTGAAGGTTTGTGGTGCTCATAGCTGCTGTCTGGAGGGAAGGCAGGTACAGGCTGCCGTGCCAAGTGGCGTCTACAGCCAGGTCCGTCCACAGTGTACAGTTCAGACAGCAGGTGGGAAAAAGTGAACGTGTTTGGAGAAGGGTAAGTTGGCCCCCAGTCGCACAGTTACACGTGTATCCCCAGAGTGCTGACTTGGACGGTGCCTGTATGTGAGTGCTCTTCGGGAAGTGGTTAGTGAGCCAGGGCAGTTCCTTTATTTCATGAGTTGATCGGTAGCCTAGGTTATGAGGATGTGAATTATAGCACAGGTCAGTTTCAGAAGACAGATAGACCCTCAGGGCAGCTAGTGCCGAATGGTTTGGGCACTTGAGAGTGGAAAGAACTTGGGAAAGGAGATCATGGGAAGAGATTCTCTAAGACACATATTATAAAGAAAACTTTGTTGACTTTCCCTTTGTTTGTGAGAAATCTGGTCCATAGGTCCAGTTCTGTGATTTCCATATGCCTGTTTCCACTGGCAAATGGTATGTGGGTGGGAGATACTTAAAGTATTTCTCAACAGGGGGTCTTCTTGACACTTTGGATGGAAAAATTATGTGTTTTGAGGACTGCCTCTTGCAGTACAGACCATTTAACTCCCATGCCCCTGTTTTCTGGCACCTTTCTGAAGTTTTGACAACTCAGAATCCTCCCCCATTCCCTGTGCCCCCCAGGGGGATGGTATTGGCCCTGGGATCTAGGGGAGACTCTGCCTGGGGAAAAACTTCATTTTTTCAGAGATCCCCCTGAGCCCACATTTCAAGAGAAATGATTTTCTGGAGTCCTCTCTTGTCTCAACTCAAATGAAGACTGAATTCTGAAGCAGCGGGGTTGAATTTATTACTGACTCAATTTAGTGATGAACAGTGACATTTCAGGGCTAGCGAAAGTATGGAGCCTTTTTTATTCCCTCAGTGTTCACCTGATATGTCTGTGATTTGTGATACGTCTCAAATTTCCCTGTCGCCCCTGGCCAATCCCTGGGCATTGCAGACCTCTTTGTGGGGGTTGATCCTGTTGAATCTCTTCATGTTCCCACCACATAGAGAATTTCATTTTTCCATGTGACTAGATGTGTTGTAGGCACAGTGGAAGAAAAATCATGTCTATTTAGCATGCCTTTCCAATACTGGAGGATAGGATTGATGCTAACACAAGGGGATATGGAAGTGAGATGGGGAACAGGAGAGCAAGCGCTGAGAAGAAGCATTTCCACCTGGCGCTCCTCTGGTTCCCCCTTTAATTCAGCCATGCCTGGAAGTCGTCTTTGATGTTTGAAACCCGAGGTCAAGTGGTGGTGGGGAGAGAGCATGTGGACTGACAGGTTGGAGGAGCAAGGATGGAGGGATGGGTAAGGAAGAGGTTTGCCTCTCATCCTCAGGCAGGGTTGTGCAGGGGGTGATCATGTTCCTGTAAATGGAGGTCAGCCTCATTTCTGACCCATCAAGCAGAGGAATGACACTCCAACAAGGTGTCTGCAATTGGAGGAGGGCTGCTTTTGAGGCTGCCACCTAGGAGGAAGGTCCCCTCCTTGGGAATTCAGAGTGGCTCTTCTATTTGACCACTCCTCCTTCCAGCCTGGATCCTCAAGGCTTCTCTCTGTCTTCCTTTCCTTTTAGTCTTCCTTAGATGCATATCTAAAATGCATCCCCTTTCCCATATAGATTATTACAGGATATTGAGTAGAGTTCCCTGTGCTGTATATGGTTATGTTTAGCTGAGTCACTTCACCGTACACCTGAAACTAACACCACATTGTCCATCAACGATAACTCAGTATAAAAGAAAAGCTAAAATTAAAGGCATCTGCTGGTACCCTCCACAGCCTCCTCTGTCATCTCCGGCGAATGCGTTTCCACTGCATGCATCCCTCTCCTCCAACAAAACATGTCTCTTTCCAGCCTGTCATAGAATGGACCTTCCCTCCACAGATCCTGCCTCCCTCTGATTTCTGCCGCCATCTCAGTTTCCCTCGTTGTTTAATTGTTTATTTGGAGAAAGTGCTTAGGTTTAGTCTAAGGTTCCCTCAAGGGTTGAAATCCACTGCTTACCTGGATGGTGTGCACTTTGTACATTTCAGAAGTGAGGCTCATGCTGTGAACTTAAGTAGTACCTCTGTTCCAAGTCCTTGCAACCCTGCTCCCCAGAGTTGAGTAGAATCCTGACTCAGGAGGAGCTCAGGTATGTCATGTGAGGAACAAACTCTCCTTTATCTCCTCACACACACACTGAGGTATGTGCCCCTCAGTGGACCTGATGAAGATGCAGCAGGTGCCTTAGGGGCTTGGCTGTGCATTGGGAGGTAGTCCCTTGCTCCTCACATGGGTCTCTGTTCCCCTTGCAGGAAGATGAAGTGGTCCTCCAGTGCATCGCCAACGTTCACAAGGAGCAGAGGAAGTTCTGCCTGGCAGCCGAGGGACTTGGGAATCGCCTGTGCTTCTTGGAACCCACTTCAGAAGCCAAGGTGAGATTGCCCGTCTGCTCTGCACCTTCCCTCTTGGCCTCCCGAGCACTCGTCCAGGGATGGGACTGCTGGGAAGTGGTGATGAGGGTGATGAGGGGGGTGAGGAAGAAATTCGAAAGATATACTTATCTTTGAAATGGGAAGCAGATCCCTTAACTCTCCCCAGCCTAGAAAGTTCTATAGTGGAAGCCCAGAGGAATGCGAAGAATTAATAGTACCTGTCGTTAAGTGTTCAGCAGCACATGGGGGAAGCCTGGAGGTCACTGTCAGTCTTCAGGGAGAAGATGCTTTTATTACTCCCCAAACACCTTCCTTGTTGTTAATTCCTAGAAATCTGAGGGTGTTTTCTTTACCCCCAGCTGTCGTTTTATTGCTTCAGCAATTCATGGGTCCTTGGGCCTGTGTCTCACAACAAGCTCATCACTTTCAGTTGCAACTGTGCTGAGGTGGTTGTAACTGCCTGCTGTGACCCAGGGGCAGAGAGGAACATTTGCTCTGGTCCCGCCTGCGTGGTGGCATGTAGTGTTATCTCTCCTCAGTGAAACTTTGCTTCCTCCATTTTCATTTGCTTTCTACTTTTCACAAGCTGTATGTCAGGTGGATCTGTGTGCCTCGTATTCTCACAGTACTTTGCAGTCCCAGGAAGACCTTTATATCAGTCAGGGTTTTCTAGAGAAACAGAAGCAAAAGGATCTCTTCCTTTTTCTGGATAGGTGGATGGATGGGTGGATGTATGGATACAGATTTATTTTAAGGAAGTGACTCCTAGGAGGAAGGTCCCCTCCTTGGGAATTCAGAGTGGCTCTTCTATTTGACCACTCCTCCTTCCAGCCTGGATCCTCAAGGCTTCTCTCTGTCTTCCTTTCCTTTTAGTCTTCCTTAGATGCATATCTAAAATGCATCCCCTTTCCCATATAGATTATTACAGGATATTGAGTAGAGTTCCCTGTGCTGTATATGGTTATATTTAGCTGAGTCACTTCACCGTACACCTGAAACTAACACCACATTGTCCGTCAACGATAACTCAGTATAAAAGAAAAGCTAAAATTAAAGGCATCTGCTGGTACCCTCCACAGCCTCCTCTGTCATCTCCGGCGAATGCGTTTCCACTGCATGCATCCCTCTCCTCCAACAAAACATGTCTCTTTCCAGCCTGTCATAGAATGGACCTTCCCTCCACAGATCCTGCCTCCCTCTGATCTCTGCCGCCATCTCAGTTTCCCTCATTGTTTAATTGTTTATTTGGAGAAAGTGCTTAGGTTTAGTCTAAGGTTCCCTCAAGGGTTGAAATCCACTGCTTACCTGGATGGTGTGCACTTTGTACATTTCAGAAGTGAGGCTCATGCTGTGAACTTAAGTAGTACCTCTGTTCCAAGTCCTTGCAACCCTGCTCCCCAGAGTTGAGTAGAATCCTGACTCAGGAGGAGCTCAGGTATGTCATGTGAGGAACAAACTCTCCTTTATCTCCTCACACACACACTGAGGTATGTGCCCCTCAGTGGACCTGATGAAGATGCAGCAGGTGCCTTAGGGGCTTGGCTGTGCATTGGGAGGTAGTCCCTTGCTCCTCACATGGGTCTCTGTTCCCCTTGCAGGAAGATGAAGTGGTCCTCCAGTGCATCGCCAACGTTCACAAGGAGCAGAGGAAGTTCTGCCTGGCAGCCGAGGGACTTGGGAATCGCCTGTGCTTCTTGGAACCCACTTCAGAAGCCAAGGTGAGATTGCCCGTCTGCTCTGCACCTTCCCTCTTGGCCTCCCGAGCACTCGTCCAGGGATGGGACTGCTGGGAAGTGGTGATGAGGGTGATGAGGGGGGTGAGGAAGAAATTCGAAAGATATACTTATCTTTGAAATGGGAAGCAGATCCCGTAACTCTCCCCAGCCTAGAAAGTTCTATAGTGGAAGCCCAGAGGAATGCGAAGAATTAATAGTACCTGTCGTTAAGTGTTCAGCAGCACATGGGGGAAGCCTGGAGGTCACTGTCAGTCTTCAGGGAGAAGATGCTTTTATTACTCCCCAAACACCTTCCTTGTTGTTAATTCCTAGAAATCTGAGGGTGTTTTCTTTACCCCCAGCTGTCGTTTTATTGCTTCAGCAATTCATGGGTCCTTGGGCCTGTGTCTCACAACAAGCTCATCACTTTCAGTTGCAACTGTGCTGAGGTGGTTGTAACTGCCTGCTGTGACCCAGGGGCAGAGAGGAACATTTGCTCTGGTCCCGCCTGTGTGGTGGCATGTAGTGTTATCTCTCCTCAGTGAAACTTTGCTTCCTCCATTTTCATTTGCTTTCTACTTTTCACAGGCTGTATGTCAGGTGGATCTGTGTGCCTCGTATTCTCACAGTACTTTGCAGTCCCAGAAAGACCTTTATATCAGTCAGGGTTTTCTAGAGAAACAGAAGCAAAAGGATCTCTTCCTTTTTCTGGATAGGTGGATGGATGGGTGGATGTATGGATACAGATTTATTTTAAGGAAGTGACTTATGCAATTTTGAGGGCTGGGAAATCTGAAATCCATAGATCAGATCAACTAGAAACTCCAGAGTTGAATCTGTCTTAAGGCAGACATTTTTTTCCTCCTAGAAACCTCAGGTTTTATTCATAGGCCTTTGAATGATTGGGGAAGGCCCACCCACATTATCAAGGGTAATAATCCCTTTTAAAGCCAACCGATTATAGATGTTAATTATACATACAAAGTATCTTCACATCAAAACCTTGATTGGTGTTTGATTAAATGACTGAATACTATAGTCTAACCAAGTTGGCACACAATTATCCATCACGCCCCCCCCATACTCAATTTTTCCTATAGACTATTTTAAATCAGAAAATGGTTATATTTTCCAGCAAAGCTGCCAGATTAGTATGTCATTGCTCCATGTTAACATGGACAGCACAGACACATGCAGTTTGACCAAATCCTAGAACATTAAGCGTGCCCCATGGTGGCCACGCCTGCCTGAAGCCCCTCTCTGCGCTTCATCACTTGCCTCCCTCCCATGTAGGGAAGTCCCTGGTCCATGAGCGCAGACATCTGTCAGTAGCACGAAGGACAGAGTCACATTCAAATAAATGGCAGAGCAAAGAGACAAAGAAGATTTTTATCTTTTAGAGGTCTTAGGTTTGATTTCCCTGAGGTCTTTCCTCATTTACTTTTGCTCTTAGCTAGGTATTTTTCTCTTCATTCCCAGCAGTCTGGGATAATAGGAAAATCATTAGATTATAAGTCAAGAAGTTGATTCTCAGCCATTAGCTCATCATGTGACCATGAGCAAGTCACTCAGTCTTGTTTCCAGCTTTCTCATCTTCCAGATAAGATGCAGTCTGGTGTAATGGAAAGAACATTGGTCTGAATTAGAAACCCATGGTACCATTTTCTAGTCATCCATTGAGTAGGGTGTAGGACATGGGTTTAGAGCATCGCTCTGGAGCCAGACTTTGAGTCTGAATCCTGTGTTCACCACTCACCAGCTAAGCTAGGGCCTTGAGCAAGGTACCTCACCTTTCTGAACTTAGTTTTCATCATCTGCTTAATGGAAATTTAATAGTAACAACTTAAGAATGTTGTTATTAGGATTTAAATTAGTTAATATTTGTGACCCACCTAGCACAGTGTAAACTCTATTTAACCATTGGCTATTGTGATTTACTAGTACCTAGCCCAGATTATCTAAAACAAAGAGAACTATATATCATAACCTAAGAATTCTTTGCATCCCTCAGGTGTAAAATAATAACCCATGCCACTCAGAAGTGCATTAGGGATGAGAAAAACCCTTCCTAACACCCACTTGACTGATTGTTCTTATTTTGGTTTTTCATTTTAAATTTAAAACAAGGTAATGCAACTGAAGAAGTTTTCTAAAAAATGTGTCATCTATAACCGTATTCCCTGTCACAAATACTTTCATTTTTGTTTTTCACTCTGGCCTTTGTCCACATGTACCCATATATTTTCAAAGTCACACTCGTAGTGGATATTCAGACATTCTGCCTTTTTTCCTTCACGTGTCAGCCAGTTCTATATTGCTGTGTAATCTTCATGGTTATTAAAGAAAAATTCATGTACGTGGTTTTGTTGGTTTACTTTTGCTTCCTGGAGTATTGTCCAGGAGAAGAATTCATGGCATCAGAGTATAAACAACATTAAATTGGTTTTCCGAAAGGATAAACCAATTGTTAGAGTTGGCACCCATACTGTCATTGCATGAGTATGTGTCTCTTCTGTATATAGCATGAAGAAAGTGCACCATGAGGGCTTCTCACAGAAAAATAGGATAAGTTCATGGAAAGGATAGATAGGTCTTCAGAATTTCCTGTCGCCACTACTGGGAGCAGCCTGCTAGATTAACCTATTTTATGTGGCTTCAGGCTTTCCTATAGTCAGCTCCAGCTATGCACACAAAACTCTTCTGTCCTGCTCCCTCCCTTTTTCTCTAGATATTTCTCCTAATTCTCTACCATTAGATTTCACAACCAACAGTGCCATTCTTAGGCTCTTGGAAGCTAATGTTAACCATGCGATGAAATGAGAAGGTGTGTTTTTTCCCAAGCCTGGCAAGCTGGGTATAAGGCGCAGACCCCAAACGTCCCTCTTATCAACTGGCAACAGAGCCAGCTGGTGACCTTGGGCCATCCCAGTCAAGGGTATTTCAACTTAGTTGGGACTCAGAGAGGTAAAATTGAGATGAACTCTAGGGAGAAGGAAGACCTCAGAGAAGGAAGGCATGAGATAAGGTACTTAAAAGATATTCTCTGTGTACAAGTTCTGAGAAAAAAGAGGTCATATTGAAGCAAGGAGCAAGAGGGTAGAAATACAGGAAGCAAAAATTTTAGAATATCAACACCTACTATAAACCCAGGAACTGCTGAGCACTTGGGAGAATTCTTGTGACTTTGAGCTTTGCTTGTCATGGCCTTTTCTGAAGGCCTCTGAAATTGCAGATATTAATTCACAGAAGCACCCTTATTCAGGTTTCCATTCAAATGAGCACAGTGTGAGGAGTTAAAAGATATTTTGTTTTGTAGACTCAGTGTTGAAACCAGGGACCAGGCAACATTGAAGGGAAATGCTGCTTCTATGTTTTTATCAATAGCAGCAAATGCTTATTGATGGTCATTTTTAAAAATTATTTATTTTTAATTGGAGGGTAATTGCTTTACAGAATTGTGTTGGTTTCTGCCAAGCATCAACACGAATGAGCCATAGTTATACCTGTGTCCCCTCCCTCTTGAACATCCCTCCCACCTCCCTCCCTATCCCAACACTGCTAGGTTGTTACAGAGCCTGGGTTTGAGTTCTCTGAGTCATATAGCAGATTCCCAGTGGCAATTTATGTTACATATTGACAGTCATTTTTAAATGGAAAATGTATTCCCAGGAATCAGGAATTGACTGTTTTTCCTCTAGTTCTTAATATTGTGTCTCATCTATGTTGTATCTGCAGTGTCCACCAAGAGGTTGCCTTTGGTTCAACTTAATATCCAGACTCATAAGATGCTGGTAGACCTCAGTCTGCTTAGTAGGACAAGAGCCACAGCTTGCCTGCTGGGAAGTGTCAGGCACTTCTGCAGAAATCCTTGCAGCCTCCAGGGTCTGCCTTCTGAATCCCCACCCCAAATGACAGCTCAGGTTCAAAGAGACAAGGCTCATATCAGGCAGCTGTGGAGTCACCATTGCTTAGAAGGCTCTGTACCACAGGGCTGATGTATCTTGTGACAACTCCACAGGCTTAGCTTTTGAAGGACTACCCCTTATACAAGGATCATCACACTTGGGGAATCACAAATAGACAGCTTTCTCTGAAGTACTGATGATCTTTCCAGTCCAGATGCAGGCTACAAATTAGGGATCATTTTCACCCTAAGCAATATTCTCTCGGAACATAATTAGCATATCAGTTTTATCAGCTTATCCCAAGAACAAAACTGGACAATTAACTGAAGGTCAAATTCTCAGGCAAAAAGAGAAGAGAATTTCATAAGCCTTACTCCACAGGAATCTCCATTGATGGCAGTTATTAATGATTATAGGCCAACACCTTTCCAAATCCTAACTTCTACCTTCCTTAATTGTAGATCATCAAAAAAGAAGAAAACTATGGGAACTTTTTGTTGAAAATCAGTTGCAACAGACCAAAGTTTGTTTGTTTCACAAATTTTAGTAATGAAACTGATGTTGATGAAGTGAAACAGTTTACCCGAGTGCCCTTTAAAAGTCAGTGTCACATCTTAAGTCTTTTGGGCTTTCTCAGAAGAATGTTCCGCCTTTCTGTCCAGAAGTACTGTGGCTTGCTGATCATGGTTTCCTCAAAATGGAAAATCCAGTTTCAAATCTAATTTTCAAATTGAACATTTTCCAGGAAAAATTTATTCCTATTGTTTTCACCTCTTCTTTTGAAAACTGAAGAAAATAGCCTCCTATGGTTTCTGAAAACTTATATAGGTACTGAACACCCAGAATTAAATATCTGTGTTTGCGCAAACATCATTATGTCAGTGACATAAATTAGAACAGAATTCTTGACTAAAAAAAAAAAAACCCTTATTTTCTGTTGCTTTTTTATTATCTTCAGCTCAGAAAAATTTACTGTTTACTCCTAAAAAACTAAGTCTGCACAAATTTATGGAAACAGAGGCTCAGCCTGAAGTTGTATACCTTTTTTTGAACTTCCCAATGTAACTTTAGTGTGTAGTCTTCCCTATGGGCTTGAGA